GGCTCATTACCTTCTAGGATATATTCTGGCTATTTCCTCAACCCTCTGAATGACTAGATTTTCTCTAAAATGGGGAACATCTGTGTAAGTCTACTTAGAGTAAGGAAATGTGAATAAAGATCAAGTCTCACCTCTTTCAATGCACAGCATCTTAGGAGGAAGAATGATGGTCTGGGATGGGTAGGAATAGGATCTGGGAGCCTGGGGATAGAAATAGGTTCTCAGAAGACAGTGATGAGGGCATTTGGAGACTGGGAGGAATTGGATCTGGGAGGTAGTGGTGGGAGCTCTGGGAGGCAGGTGCAGATAATGGGTGTGGTTTGAGAACTCTTAGGGGAGAGATGGGCTGGTGGGTAGAGATGGGGCCTGAGGGGAGTAATGAGGTCAGGATCAGAAATAGAATTAGGGGAGCAGAAATAGAGGCTATGGTGTCAGGTATGCACTAGTCTTAGAGTGGAATTTGGAGGCCAGCTCAGATGGAGTCATCCCTCCCTTTCCCTCACCCCTCCTTTCTCCATACTGGGGCCCCTAATGTTCTGTAGTCCTCTCTCTGTTCAAACTGGGTCAGAGGAGAAGAGCTTAGGCTCCAGGACTTGTCCTGGCTTAGGTGACTCACTGACCGGCGAGGTGAAGAAAGGTTCACAACACCACTGTCCCACGAAACTTCTTCCCAGCCACCTGGGTCATTGCCCACCCAGCTGCCATTACCAGTTTCCAGTTTGGGCCCAGGGAGTTCAAACAAGGGTAGGACCCAGACCTGGAAAAGGTCATAGAACAACCTCCCAGCAAACACACACATTCCTGTGACTGAATTGGGAAGGTTGCTTCTGAATCATTTCTTCCTTCATCCCCATGTTTGATAGATGTTTTCCAGATGCAGTCAAGGCCAGAAGTCTCTCGGTGCCATCATCACACTTGGTCTGTGGTAACACATCATGCTGTCGCCTTTCTTCTTAACTTCCCGTGCTGGACTACTTCACCTTAAAAGTATGGTTTCTGTCCTTTCGTTGCCTCTCCTCCCTTCCTTTAGTCCCTCTTTGAGACCTTGGATTCCTGGGCTCTGAAGTGTAACGATGGGTCTTTGGGAGCAGAACTGGAGCTCAGGTCAAGGTGAGTTATGTATGCAGCACAGGTTTGAATCTCAGATCAGCTTTTTAAATGCATACTTTGGGCAAGTTTCTTGATTTCCCTTCTTCTGTGTTATCCTCTGCAAAATAGTGATAAAACTTACTCTTTAGGGGTTCTGATGAGATTAGGGATCTTATAAGTAATGTTTCTGGAACACAATAGGTATTCGACAAATGGTCAATTTTACTATTACTATTTCTGGGCAGGTGAGCTGCATGAAAATGGAAGCAGGGTCCCTAGTGCAGAGCTTC